CACTCATTTTACAAATAGAAAGAAATTGCAAATAACTTCATGAAGAAACACATATATGGATTTGAAAAAAATATTTAATACTTGGATGTGTCTAATTGTGTATGAACTTTTCTAAATGCAGATTATAACTGTTAATTTTTCTATTTTTGTGTTTTCAAAACTTGCCTTTACTTTTCACGTTGGGAATTGGATGGTTTGTCTTGTTTACACTAATTTAGGAGTTGATGATATATTTTTTCATGTGATTTATTAGCTCAGAAATCATTCAGGATATATTTCTTTTTTTGGGTTTCTTCAGTTGATTTGTGTTGTTCTTATTTATACGTGTGAAGAAAAGAATGTGTTGATATATGTTGATTATGTGTTTTAACATTTTTGATTGTGATAAATGAGCAGATCAGCTGAATTTTGTTCATTATTCTTGTTACAAACAGGATGATCCTGCATTTGTTGGGGACAATGGATTTTTTTTTTTTGAATTATAAAGTTATTATGAGTTGGATTTAATGATAATTGGATAAATTGCCATTGGTCTAGGCAATTTCCAGATTCTGGAGTCATTTTGCCGGAGCCCAGGAAAATTTTCTTCTATTCTGCTAAATAATTTGAAGCTCTACTTCTTCTTATTTATTATTTATTTGTTTATGCATATATTTCCTAAAGTGTCTATTTCTATTTAAACTGACTCCCCTTATCATTCATTAATGCCCATTGGGAGGAACTACAGATTCTAATAAGTTTCTATTTGGTATAAGTTTTTTTGGATGAAAGTTTCGTTTTGTGCATGTGAAATAGGAGTTTATTTGGTTTATATTTTAGAGTTGTGTAGGATGAATAGAACTCAGCTTTAATTATGGTGGATCAGTTTCTTGTGGACAATTTTACATTGATACAGGATTATTATGATTCTAATAAGACTAATGATTTTCTAGTTTGGTAGATGCATTTTCTTTTGGACAATTTTACATTGATACAGGATTATTGTGAAGTATTAGAAGTTTTACATTGCTTTTCATTGGAAATTCATTTAGATCTAGTATTTCTGTTTTGTTTGTTGATAATATGATCTACAAATTTGGAGATTAAGCTTGCTTTGGTGGATTTTTGAAGAGTTTTTGTTTCATCTTTCAGATCTGTTACTGAGATGATTTCTGAGAATTTCAGTATAATTTATGCTTAATTTAGTAGGTATTTAATTAAAATAAGGAGGCAAAAATACTATGTAAAAATATAAATATTTTTTAGAATATACAGCTAGAAATATATCTATGTATTGGTATCTCTGGTTTTCTTTTAACTTTGTACTTTTTCAATCTTTGGAAACTTTCTCAGTAATTATTGGATGATTGAAGTATGATTTTATGGTAGAGAAAACCTTGACATCTCCAACAGGGTTTAATAATTGCTCTATTGCTATTGAGTTTAATTAAGCAGACTTTTTCATTGATAAACTTAGATATTAAATTATAGATTCAAACCTATAATTTAGATATTAAATTATATAAATTTAGATATCAAAATATCTCTGTTTTTGTTCATGCTACATATGGTTGTGGCTGTTGGGCTAGAATGTTTTCTCATATTCAGGGGGATTCAAGGGCTAATTAAAGCACTAGCATCAGTAAAACAGATGGAGAAAATGGTACTTAAATATTTGCTGCCACAAGTTGAAGCTGCATCGCTCTTGAGCATATCTCTTGCATTTGCCTGGCAAAAGGCAGTGAAGCAATGGCCTCATTTCATGATTCATTTCATACTTTGGAGCTCCTTTGTTATGTGTTTGTCAACTGGAATTCTTCTGGTTTGCTTTCAGAGACCTACCACAGATGGTGTTGGGGTTTGCCTCATTGCCTTTGCAATTGGTAATGGCTTGTATGCTTGTTGGGTTAGTCCGAGAATTAAGTTCCGTACCTAGGTTTTGATCAAAGCAATGGAACCTACTTCCAAATTTACAGATTTAAACCACCCCGCTTATGTGATGCTTGGGGCTGGATTCATATGGATGTCTATGTGGATTTTGGCTGTGATTGGCACCTTTAATTTCCCCCTTTCAACCATTGATTATAATTGTATTGTTCTTGAGCTTGGCTTGGACGGCTGAAGTCTTGAGAAATGTTACCAATTTAACAGTTAGCACTTAGCAGAGTAATTTCTTTGTATTACCTCAAAGGAATGCAGTGCAGTACTAACTTCTGCTTCCAAAGAGCCTTATCCCTGAACCTTGGAAGTGCTTGTCTTGGATCCTTATTCGTTCCAACAATAGAAGCACTGAGAATTGTAGCAAGAGGTTTGAAATTGTAAAATAAATTTAGATATTAAATTAGATGTTATTCCATAAATTTAAGTGTTCAAAAAAAAAGTTCATATAACAAAACGGAGAACACAAGCAGCATAAAAGGATATATAAAAGGATATTGATATAAAAGCTAGAGATATAAATAATTTTTTATATAATTTTTATGTACTATTAAATTAATAATTACACTCAATATAACAAATTTTAAATAAATAAATTATCTAAATAAAATATAATT